CAATAGAAGTACTGATTCCACCAGAAACACCCGAGCTACCACCTTCTGCGAAAGCGGCACCAATGGCCAATCCATCACTGATGTTATGGAGAGTATCTCCAATGATTATCATCCATGCCACAGTGGAAATAGTTTTGAATGATGGCTTTTCTTTTTCTAATTCATCCCTGAAAACGGAGCGGCGTGATAAGCTGCGTTGAAGGCTTTTCTTGCGATTATTTGTTGTATTTTGATGACCTTGGGGAACTCTGTCTTTGGGTTCTTCAAAACCATCTTTGATATCCTGTTCAAGATTAAGAAATTTGCTTTCTTAGAATATTACAAACTCTCAGTTCAGATTTTAGAAATTTTCAATAAAAACAAAGAAAATAAAAAAAGGACTCTTTCAGTTCTGGTCACTTTTTTGTGATTTGCAGCTGTGAATAATGTTGCCAGCTCCAAAAACCTTTGAGCTCTTTCATATATGGAGCTAGAGATATGAGGCTGGTTATTGTAACACAGACGCAAAAAGAACAAAAAGTATAAAAAACTACAACATGTCCCTTGGTGCTCCAGGTCTGTCTGGTGTATTAGTAGTGGGTTGCAAATTATGGAATGAAAAAGTTACTTAAACAAAAAAAAAATTATGAGAATCTGCTGTTCAAGTGGCTCATCGTTACATAAATTCACATGATACATATGTTTCAAAGTCATTAACAATGTCTGTTTCCTGCACAGATATGCTTTTTAATCATTCTTTGTTGGTGTTTCTGAATTTCAAATAATTACTGACAATTTGCTCGTTTACTACAATTTAGTGTTACATCTAGTATTGCAGAAACTAAAGGAAATTAATGGTTCACTGAAATTATTCATTTGAATATCACAGATAGACTACATTGTAATCTTTCACACAGACATGGGAGAATTAATTGTTCAGAACTGATAAGCAACTGGCCAATAAAACATGAATGACTCGAAGAAAATTGATGTTTATAAGTTACTTCTGTTGATCTTTGATTATTTCAGTTTATTGATGCTTAAATACCAGTTACACGTTTATGCCACCTTTTTAATAATGACATTCAAATTAATATCAGTATTATTGTTCTTAACATTAATTACCTCATATTCACCATCATCAGTATCTGTACCAGATACATGTTCATAAACACAGTGGGAATGTAATGTACAAGAAGGACTTGTAATGCTGCTGCTACTAAAATTCTTTACGGAACCATCCTTTTGTGACAGAAGACCAACGTTATAACATTAACTTAAATTACCAATTTTACGTCATTGATTAATATCATTGCATATAACTGTAACATTTAAAAAAACATGGACAGAACTTTAGCTATAAATTTTTTTTAATGGTACATAAATTATTCTAATATCAAGCTGGATATTACAGAAATTTTAAATTTAAAATTGCTTTTAAACATGTACTTTATTAAGTCAAAACATTCAGTCAATTTAGAATGTCAGACTCCTTATGTCACTGCATCAGACTTCTTTATATTTAATTCAGGATCATAAATTTCAAGATTATGGACCAGATTATTGACCAAAAAAAATCATAACAATATTATTAATCCCTTCAGCTGAAAGATAAATATTTTTCTGATTGCCCTGTGGTACTGGAACCAAAGTTTAAAACAAATTGGCAATTTGACTTTTTTAATGATCCTTAATTTTCACCAGAAGCACTGGAGTATGACACCACATATACATGTAAAAAAGATAATATACAACACCTTATAAAAGTGTTATTTCTGAAGTACAGAGGTATATCCTTTATGATTACTTTTATTATAAAGGGTTTTTACTTATTGTTTGTCTTATAATAGTCACTTAGACATTGCTCGTGACATTTTGATCAAGTACAGGGTTTCATCAACCAACAGTGTTGATTTACTGAGTGGGACTATGATTTTGTTCATCGTGGTTGTTAGTGATTGGTGTACCATGAACCTTGATCATGGTTGGTGGATCAGTATATTATTAAATTTATTATTAATAATTATATCCTCCAATTAAATCAACATTTGATTTGTATTCTACACTTCTACACTTTTTGTATCCAACTTCTGATGCCATGTAAAGAATTCGCTCACATTCTTAAACATCAACTTGAATAAAAATAAGAACATAGTGAGCTCATGAGCGGCCATGACACTAAACTGTTACAAAGTAAGCCTGAGTTTGCACGTGTAAATGCTAAAATCTAGATGGATGCTAAAACAATGCAATATCGTCACACTCACCATGTTTGTTAGAACAATGTCACCATTTTCCATGGGAGGCTTTTCATCACTGTTACCAAGCGGATGATCTCCTTCATGATGCTCCAGCCTGGAACATTTCCTTTGCTTTTTAAAGCTCATGTGCCGACTTGAAGGTCCAGGAAGCTGTACAAAAAATGGAGCTTACATTAAGCCAAAAGGAAAGCATCACTCCTTAAATTCCTTATGCAAATATGGTCATGTGATGTTTGAAAATAATCAAACAACCAGGCCACCAAGTTATCTGTGATTAGTAAATGGCCATTTTCCAGTTTAGAAATGAGAGGCAAACCAGGCCCAGTTAACTACTGCAAAGACTTCTGGAACTGTTACTGGGGACAGGGAAACAACTTGGCCAATAGCTCAATAGTGTGTCCCCAGTAACGATATCCCAGAAGTCTTTAGGAAAGCTAAGCTCACCAAGTTTCCTTCTTGTTTCAGAAGTTGGGAAATGGCACAGTAAGACTGTACATGCACATTGTATATAATTAGATCAGAATGCATGGCCTACTCAACAAATCCACTCTTACAGCACTCGCTCCTCCTCTTCTGGAAATTATTACATTAGCCACTCTAGACTAAATCAGAAAAATGATTCGTTTTCTATTATGGGAGCCAAAATTTGGAATAGTATAC